AGATGGAATAAGAGTCGTCTTCGTCGTTAACTGTCACGAACTTAACAGATTTTGAACCACTGCCTGCTTTTTGAATGAGATCTTCATCAGTGCTATCATCATTTATAACAATGAAGGATGCAGAAGAAGTGCTTGGACCTGGACCACTGTCTTCATTAGTCACTTCATCATCTAATGTTATAATCTCATTTTTCCGGTCTTCATGCATATTCCAGCAGAGCTTTTTCTTTTTCTCCTCATCTATTTTTGATGGAGGCGCACGTTTTCGACGACTACTCATCTTGTCGTTTTCTCAACAATATTTTCAGTTTCTGCAAGATGAAGTAAATTACTCAGCAATAAGTACTACAAAATCAAATGCCCACACTGAAATTTCACAGTGCAGTAGCTACTAAACTTGCAAAAGGTTTGGACATAGACGCATGCACCAAGAAATCTAACTAGTTTTACAGAGCCTCTGCTGTCCCTGTGCCATCACACAAAGCAGGACATGAAGCATTTCTCTTATCATTTTGCCAGACAGCTACAGACAGAGATCAACAAGAATGCAACATTTCACAGCTGTTCCTCAGAATCTGGTGGGACAGATATAAATAGAGAAGCAGTAGAATCCCTCAAAGGCAGGGGTGGAGGGAGACGGCAAAAGAAACTCCACAAAAGTGGAGGAGGTATAGCAGATTTGGGGGTGGGTGTGGGGAAAATACACAGACAACATCCTTCCTTTCGAAGCCTACATTGAGATGAAACTTTAAACAAACTTGACCAAGGGCTAGTCTGAACTTGTCATTATATAAAATATTGTTTATAGCCTAAGCCATCAATTTCTGCCCTTAGAAGTCCGCAATGAACCTTTCCATTAGTATTGAATACTTTAGTTTCCCAGGAAATTGTGCATCCTGGGACCTGGATATACAAATTCCTTGTGGAGGAGCCCTTACTTATTCTATTGTGTATTCCAGAGCAACCAATCAGCAAACTAAATGCATGGTCTTACTGATTTTGACTAACTGCAAAGCTAAGTCAACATACATATACAAGTCCCTGACTGAACCTGGGCAGTGAACAGATTTTGTGGATAAAATACTAGAAAATAAAGTACACATGCTAAACAACACACATGAAGACGACCTGCCTGGGAAACTAGTAACTACATATGCAAAACTACATGGTTGTACTTAAATACTCAAACAAGTAATAACCCTTTAAAAAAACCAAAACCAAACAAACCCCAAACTGTTTTTATAAGGAGCCTGAACACAGCAATAAATTTATGACTTCATATTACAGCACTGTCTTTGTCAGCAAAGACAGGAAAATATTTAGATGTCCAAGTCAATTCAGCTTCTGCATACAACTTTTAAAAGAATATAGGAAGACAAGAGGCAAACATTCTAAGCTACTAAATCCAGTGTCCCACATCCTAACGTTAAAAGGGCTTATGCTGGTACAGGGCAGAATTCCTAGAATTCTGACTAATTTTAAAAGGGTCCCCTGAAAAAAACAAAACAAACCAAAAAACTAAACAAAGCAAACCCAAACAAACTCTAAATTTTATTGTTTGGGAAAGTCAAAAGAAATATTCAGGAATACATGAATCATGGAATCACAGAATTGTTGGAGTTGGAAGGGACCTCTAGAGATCTTCTAGTCCAACTCCCCTGCCAAAGCAGGGTTGCCCAGAGCACATCACTCAGGACGGCATCCAGCTGGGTCTTGAAGATCTCCAGAGAAGGGGACTCCACAATCTCCCTGGGCAGCCTGTTCCAGGGCTCTGTCACCCTCACCGGGAGGAAGTTTTTTTACTCATATTTGAGTGGAACTTCTCATGTTCCAGCTTGTGCCCGTTGCCCCTCGAATCTTGCTGCTTTTGAATTTCAAACACAACAGAACTAGGGAAAGCAAACGTGAGTTTTTCCGGAGTAACACTCCTTCACAGAGCGCTGCTGACAGTAAACCCCGAAGGGGAGCCCAGGTATGGTAACACCGCCCTCGCACCGGAGAAGGCAGGGCGCCTGCACCACCAGGCCAGCGCTTGCCCACCGGCTTCAGCATCACACTCCCTCCCGTACGGCAGAGAGAACTGCTCCGTGTGAGCGGATCCAGCGGCCAAAGGATCAACCGTGTCCACAACGCGGAGCAGCACCCCCGCCAACGGGAGCCGGGCAGGTACCGCTGCCCGACAGCCGCCTTTACCCGGGGGCGCGCACCCTCCCGGTGCCGCCGCCGCCTCCCCTCCGTCGCCAGGGCGTCCCCCACAAGCAAAGTTACTATAAACTCAGGCAGGAGCGCACTCCTCCGCACCCAGCGCTTCACCTCCTGCCTGCGGAAGGGTCCCGGAGGCCGCCGTTCGCCCGCTCGCCGCCGCGATCCCCCCCCCACCTCGCTGTTACCGCACGGACCCCGGAGGCCCAGCCGAGAAACGAGCAGCCGGCCCGGGGGCACCCGTCGCACAGCCCCCCCCCCTTCCTCCCCCCAGCCCGAGCGGCCCCGTCAGGCCGCCCCGCCGCGCCACGGCCCACCGGTGGCCGGGCCCTCAGGGCGAGCGGGCAGGCGGACGGGCCGGCCGGATGATAAACAGAGCCAACCGCCGCCAACGTACCGAAAGGGTAACGCTGCTGCGGCGGCCCTGGCGGCCGTGGCTCCTTCCCTGCGTGGCGGCGGCGGTGGCGGCAGCACCCAGGGGGTCGGGAGATGAAGGGGGGGGTCTGGCGGCCCCTCGGCCGCGGGCACAGCGGGAAGGAGCCCCCCGGGCACGGGAGGGGAGGGGAGGGGTAGGTGGAGACGCGGGGTGCGCGCGCACCCGCCCTGGCCCGGCCGGCGGCCAATGGGATGCGGGGAAGGTGACAGCTCGCCCCGCCCAGCGGAAAGAGCAGCGGGGAGGTGGGACGGGGAGCGGCGCGTGCGCAAAAGCGGCTCCCTGGGTACAAAAAGGGGGCGGGAAAGCAGGGTGTGCCCTCAGTGGGGCGTGGCTGGAGAGGGACGAGAACGAGGCTGGAGCGCGCGCAGGCGCTGCCTGAGGAGGACGCGGCGGCGATGGCGGCTCGGTATGGCCGTCGGCAGCCCCGTCCGTCTGCCCGCTTGTCTTCCCTCCCTAGGCAAAGCCTCCTGGCACGACGGGGCAGGCGAGGGGGAAGGGTCTGGGTTAAGGCCTCGAAAAACGAGGCTGGAGGGTATTGGGTGGGCTGAAGGCCCGCAGGGGGTTCGTGAGGTGTTGGCGGTCTCTCTGGCAGGCGTTGGTGTGAGGGGCCATGGAAGTAAGGCCGCCTTAGCGGGGGGAAATTAACGCAAACCTTTTGGCTCAAGTTGCTTTAAGTGTGACTGCTTGCACCGATTGTGCGTGTGTCGTGGCTGTAAAAAGCCTACTGGGTTTAGAAGCTGGTGGGGTGGTGGAGCTGGTGTCTGGTCTCCTGTTTTCCAGTCGCTCAGGGGAAAAGGTGATACTGGGAAATGTTCGCTGCAGGCAGTGCTGATGGGGGAAACCTTGGTGCAGTCTGTGAGGTGAAAAGTGGCTAGGAGGAAAGAGACTACTGGCTAGGAGGTTAATTCATGTAACTGCAGTGATAAAGAGTGGATTTCTGGGCAATTATCACAGCAAAAAGGCAAAGTTAGTTGAATTAATGTTTAATGGCAAATATCACTTCAATAAAAACTATGGCAATATTTATTTTCTTGTGAATTATGTGGATCCGCACTTGGGGACTTAAAACAGCAGTAAATATACAAATTGGGAAGCCATTTACAGTAAGAACGTGGTTTGGGTGTGTTTGTTTTTTTTTTTCTTGTAGCAATTCTATCAACCATTTGTTAGTATTAGTCTTTACAAATGAACTCATTACTTGTCTGTATCTGATTCTCTGCTGTTTTCAGCCCTTTTGGAAGGGTAAGGCCCCTGTGCGTTCAGTGGAGCTGCTCAAAACCGTGGTGTGCAGTAGCAAAGGGAGCCTTCAGAGTGTTAGCCCTTATGCTGTGGTAGTTTGGTTGGTTTAATTAATAATATTGAGTTTGCTACATAAGCATTATTTGGCATTCCTATGTGAAAATTCACTTAAGAATCATCACTCAGGCCAATGGTACGACAGTAAATTACTGCAGAACAGAGACAAAAGGGAAGCCGCTCTCATGTATGTTGGTAACTGGAATAACGGGCAACCAAGGGGATGAAGAGTGAGCAAACCTGTTTTATGGGGAGGCTTCTGGAGCTGTGTCTTGGTGGGGCCTGTGGCCAGGCAGAACTGTGGGGAGCTAGAGACCAGCCCTGCCAGGGGCTGATGTGGGGTCCTGGGCTGTGGGGGAGCCCCAATGGGCCAGGCAGAGACAGTCAGGGCTGGTGGTGCCCTGACGATGCTGATGAGTACTTGTTGGTGCTGCAAGCACAGCTGTACTGCTAGCAAGTTTTCTGGCAACTGTATGAAGAAACTGTTGGGGAGGTGGCAAAAGAGCTAGTTTTGCTCAAAGTGTGAAGAAGGTCCTGTTAGTTCAAAAAGCTTAAGGCCAGACTTGGATCGCCCTGGGGATGGGTAACCACATGTGCCCATTCTACGATCCCACCCCCAGTGATCTGTGCCTCTGGGTGTGCTTGTGCTGTGTCCTGGCACACTGGGTCTGCAATGCCAGGCCAGTGGCTTGGAGTTGCCTTGGGAGGCTTTCTGTCTTCCTCCTAATAAGAAGGTCCTGTTAAAAGGTCTTTTTTTTTTTTTTTTTGATGGAGGCCTTTTATTTCTGGATGTGCCTTTTGGGGTTTGGCTGTTGTGTTAATCAGTAAGATAGTGAGCAGCTGAAGTTATGTGCTTCTCCTCTAGGAATTTATGAAGCTACCATGTTTCACTCCCACCTCCTGGCATGCAGCCATATGCCTGGGTAGGCAGCTCCCTTTAAAGGCATGACACCCAGGTTCATGTTGCAAGATGTGAACATCAGATTTTCCCATCCTGAACTGGCTCTCTTGATGACAGGTGTCAGGGCAGCCAGCATGATTACTGAGGTAAGGGGATGGTAAAAACGTCAGGGCAGCCAGAGGACAACTCTCATCATGATTACTGAGGTAAGGGGATGGTAAAAATGGTATGCTATCAGTCTGGGGGGTGGATTCTCCCCCAATATGGGACCTCAACTGTGGGATTCCTTGTGCAGGTGTTCTGCATCTGCTGTTGATGACCTGATGCTGTGAGAAAGTCCCACCTGTGACTGCTGCTTGTCCTCCTCCACTTGATGAAGTCTGGGCTCTACCAGCTGTGGGAAATGGGAAAGAAAAGAGAAGTCTGCCCGGTGGAGCAGCCCCCCTTCCCTGCAGTCTCTAACCAAGTGTGCTTAGGAATATAGACTTCACCTTGTCCATTGCACATTGCAGTTCTCTTGCCTTTATATTTTGGGTTTGGATGGCTCCGAGGACAGGGCTCTGGTGTTAAGCTTTCCCAGGAATACTGGCACCAGGGGCAATGCATTGCGTGACTGTCCAAATATAGTGATGAGATTCTCATGAGGTATGTGAGGCCCATGGAGGGGTCATCACAGAAATGAGTGAAACAGAGAGAAACACAAAAGGTTTCTGGATTATTGTCATGCTCAGGGTCAGTCCTGCTTAAATGCAGACTGGGCACAGCTCCTTCCAAAAAGCCTTAGGTACACTGAGCTGCGCTACTTGCCCAGAAATGAGCCTGTATCCACCAGCATGCCTGATGGAGGGTACACAGTTGTAGCCTAAAAGGCTTCCTATAAGGATCCATAATTGCTGTCCAATCTAAGGTTTGTAATAGGAAGCATCTTTATTAATGTCCTGGGATCTACAACTAGCAATAAAGCTATCAAGGAACATTGTGGAACTACTTCACTATATGAACTAATGAACTACTTCATTATGAATCTGTAAAGCCTGCTTAAATGTGATGGATCTGCCCTGACAATAACTTGCAATTCAGATTCCAATTTCCAATTCAGAATTGTGAGCCCCCCAGAAGCTCTTTGTGAGAGTGAATATTCTGAATTTCTGAAGGAACGCTAAACTTTTGGCACAGGCTCCATGCACTTGTGAATCTAGTAGCTGATGAATCATCCAGAGAAGTTTTCCCAGTCTCCTTCAGACTGAAAGATGTAGTGTTCTGGCAGTAACTACCTTACCTAGCCCTTACCCTAGCTTCCCCTGGAACTGGTGATCATCAAAACATTACCCCTTTCCCACTAAAAGCCTAAAGAACACTGCTTTGACTCAGACTTCTCCAATATAAATATGCGGCAGCACAAAAAAGAACAGACAAAAGTGACTGAATCAAAACATTACATTGCATATTCTCCTGTGGGAAAAGAGTGAAAGAAAAACACATGACAGATGGTAGTCAAATCACTCACCCATTATTAGAAACTGCTCCAATGGCATACACTTCAAGAATCCGTATAGAAATAGCAGACAACACTCCATGCTTCAGCGAGCTCTGTTCACAGGCTAAGGGCTGTGAATCTCTTATTAAGCCCTTGTCTTTTAGTTAACTTTTGTATTTCTAGATTGCGCATGTCTTCTATTTAACAATTTCCTCTCCAGGGTTGGGATTTGTGCTTTCTTTGGTAGTGGTGGTGTTCTATTAAGATTTTTAATTTAAAGCACTTGTGAGAAGTGAACTTTATTTTTTTCATCTGGATGTCGTAAAAATTAGTAAGCAAGAAAGGAACCTTTCTGATTTCAGAAGAGGGGAAAATACAATGGCACCAAGAGGGTGCCTGTTCTGTGTAACAATTTCTGTCTGAGCCTCTCTTTTTCTCTCACCTGCATTCTGTAGGAAATATCTTCCTTATTTCTCAGGGTAAACAAGCTGGTTTTTGAAATGAGGGTCAAGAGCGGGTGGAAGAATGCCCGTTTCTATTCAGCAGCTAGTGACTAAGGATCCTAGTGATTAGTACCTGGTAATTTGCCTCCTTTTCTAAAGAGCTTGAATGCATGAAAGAAGATAATTGCCATTTAATTTAATGAAATAGAAAGGAATGGTATGAAGAGAAGAAAATATGACAAAATGAGACTGTGTGGATTTTTTGACCGCACTTGAGAACATAGCCTCCCTTGCTTATGGATAAAAATTCCCCTTTGTTCTCAGTTGCAACTTTTAAATTCCCGAAAGAGTAAGCAAATAAAAGCAGGAGACAGGCTGCTTGGCAAAGGGTTTCTTTTCTGAGGGAGGATGGAGAAAACAGCATGTTAGTCGATGTGATACTTAGAGCCCTTTCCACCAATATTTTAGTTGTGAAGGCAAGCAGAAGTTTTCTAAAGAAAATCGAAATTGTATTTGTCCCCAGGGTGGTTCTGGTGGCAGGAAATGTGAACAGCTGCAGCAAAAGACTGAGGGCAGGCAGGCTATATTTCCTGCCCACAGCGACTGTACGTTACGCTGAAGAGCTAACTGAGCATTTGTGTGCCTCAGCAAACTAGGTAGAAAACCACTCACGGTGTTTATCAGTTTGTTAACTAGCAGAAAAAGCCTTCTGAGTTCTAGAGATAAAAGTCACCGTATGATAGAAATTAAAAGGTGGGCCCCAGTGGAAGCATAATATGGCTGCAGTCTAGTCCAGATAAATAAACTCATGGTCAGTATTCTGTGCCTTGTAGGAATTTATGTTTATAGGCTTGGCTGTACCCAACTTCCTTAGTGTTTGGTGTTTAAATATAACTTAGCTCTCATAGTGGGACTTTTAAAGTGTAATCATGTAATTGCTGCCATCCACAGTGCATAATACTGCTTCAGGCAAAATAGCAGAAGATTTAAATATTTTTCAGAGAGCTACAAGGAGCAGAGTATTTTTGTGTGCCAGAAGCAATCGCGTAAGCCAGTGGGCTAACTCCCTGGCACGCAGGGAACGATACTGTGGAGCCACGGGTGGCAAGCCTCTCTTTTTTTCACTTCTTCAGGGCTTCGGCTCTGTTTCTTCAATATAGCAAAGTTCAATATTTCCCTCCTGCCCTTCTGCCTCTTAACACAGCGTCTCCGGGAGGAATCTGTCTGCACCCCACAGAATAACACTCTTCGGGCCATCTGTCCTGGCTCACGTGTAGGCACAATTCTTGTCCCCCCTTGTCCATCTGCCGCTCGGCTGAGCTACGTGCTGCTCTTGTGAAAACCAGGTGATGCACCTGACCTCAGGCCTGACGGGGAGCAGCTGAGCAGTCACTGGGGGGAGTTAAGCCCATCTCCCTTTTTCCAAGAGAAAAGGACAATTTAAAAGACTATCTAAATATAGAGCAGGAAAAAAAAAAAATAACCATGTCATTGCATCTAGGACATCGTCTAGAGTTACTATGTAGGATTTGAAATCCAGTTCTTGCAGTTATTTAAATATATACCTAAATAAGGTGTTTTCATTGCTTTAATAGTGCTTTTCTGAGCCTTTATTTTTTACATAACAAAAATGTGTAAAGAAAGCGTTTGCAGTTCCTGAGAAAAAGCAAGCCCTCCAATTAAACTGTAATTAAGTAAATAAAATGTTTATTATCAATTCAGTAGAAACATATGGAAATTTAGGCTCAAATTATAGAAGTTTATAACATAATACGTGGCAGTGGTTTGGAGTAGAGCTGAAGGACACTCACAACAGGGATGTTTCAGACATTATCTATTAGAGATACCTTTCTTGGCGGTAAAAAATCCTTATTTTCACACTCTGGCAAGAGAAGATTTGAATTCACAGCTGAGTCTAATATAAAAATTAAGCCAATCAAAACATCATCTTGCAAAATTCTTATCTATGGTCTGCACTGTGGATAAAAAGGCAATTCAAAGTGAAATTTAAACAAAAATGTGGGGTCTTCTGGAATAATTTTCTTTTGGCCACTTTCCTCATAAAGAAGTGAGAAGCGGTCTCTTTATTTCCTGTCAAAGAAAATATGAACTTCATCGGGGATGTGATTTCCTTGATTTATAAAATTTGAAGTACAGAAAGACCTGCAGTACTCAAGCCAGAAACCAACGTACTTATTTAGCACAGGTGAAAATCTGCCTCCAGAGATGTTTTCTTCAAGGTTAGCAATGCTTGATGTTAAAATTAGTTGTTAAAGTGTGATGCGGCTTCGTGGCAGAAGATTAATAATCATTCTCTTCAGAGGAGTGTTATATTTAATTATCTGTCCAAAATACACCTTTGAGCCCACCTGGATTATTACCCCGCCTCAGAAGCAACGCCTGGTGTTACTGGGGGTGGGATTGTACCCTGCACCGTGGGTTCTGACCCTGAGCTGAGGGAGCAGGCAGGGCTGAATGAAACAGCCAAGAAGATACCTCAAAGCTGTCAGCAAACTACCTGGTGCTTCGGGATGTTGTTAGTGCCAGTCAGCACTTCTGGTAGAAGACACTGACCCCCTGCCATGTGGGGCACTGTGGGTCCCTGGAGCAAGTCCCTGGTCAAGAGGTGCCGGAAACATCCCTGAGATAACCTTTTACTTTTGCCTGGGGCATTAACTCACAAAGGCAGCAATCTTACCTAATGAGAAAGAGTATTTTCTCTGGATATAAATGTCATTGTACTTTGAATATTACATATACCTACACTTACTGATCTTTGGCCTAAATCTTGGAGATGCAATGAGCAACAGGCAATGAGAAGTTGGTTTGGGGCCCCAAATGTGTGTTTGGGTTTGTTTTTCTACATGGTACCACAAGGAGCCCAATCTACTGGGGACTGATGGAACAGCCTGAGTAGATGGTTTGTGGTTTATAACCAGCACAAGTGGTGCAAGCAATTTAAGTACTTCAGTTTTTGTACTTCTATACCCAGTCGCCTTTTCCAGTTAACAGAAATTTGTAATGGAAATCTAATATTGGTCTTTAATCTCCAATATTTGTAGATGTTGTCTTTTCGTTACTCTCTACTTTGCCTTTCCTCATCCAGTCAAACTCAGCTGCATGGATTGTGTTCTAGCTGTAAAACAGCAACAAATCATTTCATGTTTATTGTACCCTCACCAGGGTAGATGCGTAATCTGTTGTGTAGCACTACAGCGACAAAGTTTGTACACAAATTTCAATAATAAACCATGCTTCAACCTGATTTTCCTGCTTTCAGTGCCATGAGGGGTTTTCTTTTTGACTTGTTTTGTTCCAAGGCGTTTTCCTACACGGTGTCCCATCTGCGTACCACGGGACTCTTCATGCTCCTGAGCTGGGGTTGGAGCATCCACCTTCTCTGGCTGGGGAAGTGAGTCAGCAGAAGTGACCGTGCACCACTGAACACAGTCTCAGAGAACAAAAAACAACTTGTCACACAATAAAACAATGAGATATTACATCTCGCAAGCCTGCTGGAGAAAAAATAAACCTTTTTAATTGAGGAGGTAATTGGGAGGTGCAAAGAGATGGGAGAATAGGCT